TGAGGAGTCACCTGTGGGTCGGAGAGTAGCTTGTTTCTCTGCGTCTCCGCCTCTTTCTTTCTCTCTTTCTTGTGTACTCGACATCTTTCTCGCACTTTTTTTGTTCTCATCTTTTCTCGTTGTCGTCGCCTCTTTTTTTTTGTTTCAGTCAGCACATCATGACAAACCGTTTTTTTGTTAAAAGCACTTTATAAATAAACACGACTCGCACTTTAATCACCTTTCATCACTCGGCTGTGTGACAACCTGTGGGTGCGACCACACTTTAATTTAACCCCCCCCCCCCACCTTACATCCCTCCCTTAATTGAAGCTCTTGCGAGCGGTGGCGGCGGTTTTCTATTTCTGAAGTGGCTCAGCTTCACGCTGAACACATCACACTCAGACAGGAAATAGCTCGTCTCATTGTGTCTCCGTCCTCTCGATTCCGTCTCCTCCCGCTCTGATCCCGATACGCTGCGCGTCACATAAACAAATCCCCCTCCCCGAAATGAACAACTAAATGAATTTAAATCAAAAGACAGCAGAATGGGAGTTTGGCGTGGAACAAAGCACAATTCCCTTTTTGTCTCTTTTTTTTCAGCCTCAAATTTGCATAACAAGCTGTGACACGCGCGTTGTGCATTGAGATTCAAATGAGTAAGTGGCGGCTTAAGATGGACTTAGCTGCACTTCACTGGGACTATTTATCCGCTTTCACAGAGGGATGTGTCATTCTCGCCACTTCCTGTTTGACGAGGGACAACACAGCGTTCTGTGTTCAGCACAACAGACCGAGAGAAACGTTATTGATCTCTGCCAGGAAACCAGGCCGAACAGATCAGGAAAACAATAGCTCAGCCAACAACTCTCTCAGTATTTAAGGATGCTTCAGTTACATTTGGGGGGGGGGGGACATTGTGACGAACATGAAAGCTGCAGAAAAAGCCAACATACGCCGACGGCGATGTGACAGCAGTCGATGAGGGAGCTGGATGTATAGGAGAGAGAGAGAGAGAGAGAGAGAGAGAGGAGGGAAGACAGTGGGAGGACGGAGGGGAGGGAGATGAGAGACGGACTGGTGTCAACTCACAGCTCCTGCTGGGACTTCCTGTTTCCTGTTAGACACTCGCTCAGAAATATAATATATGTGTTGTCATGGAATATCTTTGCATATGGACGATGATGAATATGAGGGACTTGTGGGGAGGAAGTCCTGCTCGCTTCCTGCAGAAAAGTTTTGGAAAGCGTCATTTTTTTTGTGTTGTGTTCACACCAAAACTTGAATATTTGTATGGCGAGGAGCGGGGGGTTGACCTCCTTATAGACAACGTTTCCTCAATCACGGCTGAAATAACTACTATTGCTGCTTTGTACATGTTGTGGAAGTGGAAAGTTATCCCAAAACACAAAGGATTGTGGGTAGAAGCAATAACTCGCGGATGGGAAGCTGAGCAGAACTAAAACTGGAGCTCACATTTCGTCATGCGTTCAAACTTTGTGTCAGAATCCCCTCAGCGAAATTTGAAAAAGACAGAAACTTAGTACGAACATCATCTTATGAAGTCACGCACCACGCGTCCATATCCTGTATGGAAATGACTGCTTCAGCGTTCAGGTTTTTTGCCCCTTTGGTCCTCTTCCTCGCTCCTCTTCCTCGCTCCAGGCGGCTGCAGTGCCTACAGTTTAAGTATGCATGCCTGCACGTGTTCACTGAGTCTTGCACCCGAGCTCGGCGGCTCACATCAGGGATCAGCTCACCGTTTCGGGCTGTGAGGCGAATTTTCCCCTTTTTTGCTGAGGAGGCCGAGTGGAAGGATACGAGTGAATGCTGAAGTGTGAAGAGGCTGAACTCTGTTGTTCGGCCACCTGGGTGCAAATCAACTAGTGCTGCTTTGTACATGGAAGTCCAGGATACATTTTCTGCCTTACCCGATTTATCGGAATCTCCTGAAAGTTAAAGTCAACTTCCTAAACACAAAAATTTCACGCTTGAGTTTAAATATTTCAATAAGTGAATGATGCAAATCGCACATAAACCCGTGTAGAATTCATATCTATTTGTATCTTTACGTTGAATTTGTACGTAATCGCAACTCAGTTTCCTAAATACGCAAATCTTTCGCTCAAATTGAAATATTTCAACTTGTGTTTATATGTGAACGATGCGTATCCTGCGTAATGGCACAATTTAAGGTGCAGGGTGCAAATTAGCATCTATTTGCGTCTTTGCATTGACTTTGTATGAAATCACTTTGCAAAAAAAGTTCGCTTTACGTTTTGTTTTGCAGTAAAGACGCCAGGACCCTTTTCAGCGTGTTATCGCTCGTCAGGGAAGCAGCAACACCTGTTACACGATTTATTGGAATCTCCTTAAAGTTTAAACTCAGCTTCCTAAACACGAGAATTTCTCGCTCGAGTTTAAATATTTCAAAATGGGAACGATGCAAATCCTAAATGATCCCGTCATTCACCTTGTGGTGTGCAAAATTTGGATCTAGTGGCAAATTTGTACATAAACGTAAACTCAGCTTCCAAAATACGCAAATTTCTCGCTCGAGTAGAAATATTTTAACTCGCATGGTTAACGGTAATTTGCTTCTCGTTTGGTTTTGCAGTAACGACACTAGGAGACCATTTTTTTGCGTGTTTTCGCTTGTCAGGAAAGCAAATTTAAAGAAGTTAAACTCAGCTTCCTGAACACTTTTAAGGCTGACTGAAAACACGCTCCAACAAGACTCAGCGTCTCCACTGTGCTGCTGTGAATACTGAAATACTGAAATATAATCTACAGTATGCTTTATAAGATACTTTTGAATAAAGAACGTTTGCTTCTATTCAGGCCAACACCAGCAACTCATTGAGATTAACCAGAGGCTCTACTTATGTATCTTAACTCAGCATTAATTAAATGTCATTATTCTGGTGTCAGTGACCTTTTGTCAGCCTGGAGGAATGAGGGAGACATTTTATTCATCCAGCCTCCCTCCCTCCCTCCCTCCCTCCCCCGTCCTGGTTGAAGCTTTCATAGTTTCTGCTGACACACACGTGTCTGAGCGTGTTGATGTTTATCGTGATAATGGGATGTATTCAGCATATGTAAACCGACAGACGGGAGGAGATGTGATTATTCTGGATTTTATGAGCCGACTGAAGACTGAAGAAGAGGAGGAGGAGGAGGAGCAGCGAGCTGGAAGACTCCTCTTCTCCTTCATCGCCTCCTCTTCTTCTCCTACTTCCTCTTAACTTTGTGTTGTTAAAGGCCGATCTCTTTGTTTCCTCCTTCCACCTCATTCGCCTGACACTCTTTTTCCATCTCATCCTCTTCATCACTCCGCCTCCTCTTCCTCCATTTCTCCTTGTTTCCTCTCCTCTTCTCGTCTTAACTTTGTGTTTTTAAAGGTCAATCTCTTTGTTTCTTCTCTCCTTCTCCTTACTCTCTTTTTACCTCGTCACTTCCCTTTTTTTTCATCCTCCTCATCACTCCTTCTCCTCTTCCTCCATCCCTAATTCTTCTATAACTTCCCAATACTCCTCTAATTCCTGTCCTTTCTCCCACTTTCAGCTCCTCTTTCTCCTCCTTTCATCTTAACGTTGTTTTTTTTAAATCTCTTTCTTTCTTCCCCCCTTCTCCTCACTCTTTTCCCTTCTGTTTTCATGCTCTTCGTTACTTCCTCTCCTCTACCTCCATCCTTCACACTTCCATCCTCTCTCCCTCTTTCAGCTCTTTCTTTTCCTCCTTCTCTTTTTAACTTCTTGTTTTCAAAGGCTAATCTCTGTGTTATCTCAACCTTCTTACTCTTTTTTCTCCTCGTCATTACTCCTTCTCCTCTTCCTCCATTATTTTTCTTCTCTAGCACTGCCTCTTCTTCCTCTTTCAGCTCCTTTTTCTCCTCTTCTCCTTATCTTAACTTAACTGTTTTTTAAATCTCTTTGGTTTTTCCCTCCTTCTCCTTCTCTGTTGTCCTCCTCATCACTCCCTCTCCTCTTCCTCCATCCTTCACACTTCCATCCTCTCTCCCTCTTTCAGGTCATCTCTTTCTCCTCCTCCCTTCCTCTTGTTCTTCATCCTCTTCCTCCTGCTCTCAGTGTTGACAGACCTTCAGAGACGACATAAAAAAAGACAGACACCTTCACTCCTCTTCTCTTCATATTTTCTCTGAAGTGAACTTCTCCATCTTGTTTCGTGCTGTTGTCTCTCTTCGCTGCTGTGAAACAAAACAGAAGCCAAAACAACAGCGAGAACCTTTCAAACCGAACAAATCCCTCCTCAGAAGCAGACGACGCGAGGAAGAAAGACGTAGAAGAAGAAGAAGAAGAAGTAGACTCGTAGATGCAAACAAACATGTATGTGTATTTCTGACTGGGCGAATGGGGAGTTCCCGCCGCCGCGTGGATGTCGCCCGTGTGATCTTCTTGAAATTATTGTTGTTTTATTTTGGAGGAGCCGCTCGGCTTCCTCTCTTCCTCCTCTGTCACTCCGTCGTCTCGTGGAGATGAAAAGACGAAGCGTCTACTCGTCCCCTTTTGGTTGAGCGCGGAGCTAGCTTATAGCTAACGAGCTGCGTGACTACAAAGAGGAGGCAGACAAGCGAAGTGAAGCTGCAACTAAAGTACACAAAACAACAACAAGCTGCTGCTTTATCAAGCAGGAAATAAACTTATTTGTCTCAAAAATGAGGATAAAATCTGCCACCGTGACCGTGACAATGTTGCATCTACATGTGTGACGTTGGGAGCAGTAACTGGGTTTACTGGTTGGTTCGGCTGGTTCGGTCAGTTAATGGATGAATCTGTGAGTTTGGTTCAGTTGTTCTGTCTTTGGTTTTCTACTTTGTTGATGGTTTCAGTTCTGCGAATCGATGCTTCTGGTGTTTGATGGTTGATGGATGAACTTCCTCCCAGCTGTTTAATGTTTTGCTTTTGTTGTTTCCCGCTAAAGTGCGTCTGTAAACGTGTTTACTACGTCATCTCAGGTAAAACGCAGCTCATTCTACATCCTTTTCTCTCTCCCTCCTCCAGGCGATGAGTGGTACCTGTGCAGGTTGACTCTGAGCATGCCCAGCCAGGCCGACCTGCAGTGGGCCATGTTCCCCTCTCCTTACCTCGGCGCCATGGGTCCCGACGCCACGCCCGGCTCTGTGGTGTACCGGCTCTCGGCACGGCAACGAGACGGGACGCTGGGTCAAGCCCAGTTCCTGCTGCTGGACGGTGAGTCGACTGTTCACTTTTAATTTCTACTTTTCTTCCGTGTAAGAACCACAGACTGTAGAGAAGAAGTGGGCGTAGTCATCGTGGCGTCACTCGTTGGTTTGTGGACGTTTTGAATCCTTGAGGTCGGCGATTTGTCCGTCGCCATCTTGTTTCTTTTGCAACCAGTGAACAGGAAGTGACCATATCTGGACTGAGGAGGAGTGACGTAGAGACACCATATACGTCTCTGGTAGAGACCTGTCAATCACAGTAAGCCCCGCCCTAAAGCATCCCCTGCTTTATGGTCTGTGTGACTCTAAATGGACCATAATGTACTAAATGAACATCATGCTGTATTGAAGAAGACTTGAAACTAGAGATCGAGACCATAAACTCATGTTTACAATGTTTACTGAGGTAATAAATCAAGAGAGAAGTAGAGTCATTTTCTCATAGACTTCTATACAACCAGAGGAGTCGCCCCCTGGTGGACATTAGAGAGAATGCAGCTTTAACACATGAAGCCTGGTAATAACTCTAAGAAAATAAGAATAAAAAGCATAGTGTTTATACACTGTGTGGCCAGAAGTATGTGGACACTTCTGAGTTACAATGCAAGGAAGAAACATTTTTGTTTTCAGACCTTTAGCTCATGAAAATCAAAGCTCTGGATCCAAACATACCTCTCTCATGATATTTGTTGTGAATGTAAAAATATGTTACCTTATCAAACTTCTTTCTCACTCCGCTCCTGTATTTTCCTAAAAGCTCTTATCTTCCGCCCGTATCTGTTAATTAGGTCGACCGATGCGCCGCCAGCCACTCTGTGACAAACCTGCTTTGTTCAAAAGGAGCGATTTATAAATAAAAACTTGACTTGTTGATTTTCAATTACCGTCAAGTGTGAGAGGGAGAAAAAAGAAAAACCGCACATAAACGGCATGAAGCTGCACTGTTAATCGCTCCCCGGGGCAAAGAAAGCTCCCCGATTCGGGAATAATAGGGAAGTCTCTGGAGAGGCAGCGAGTGGGAGGGTGGGCGCCGGTGGCTGTGGATTTTTTATTTTTATATTATTATTCTAGCGGAGAGGAGAAGGAAGGAGAGATATTTTCAGAGCTAATTTCCAATGCTTTCATATTAAGAGCCTCTGACTTCCCTTTGGCGTAATGTGACTACATGTGTACCCACGAATAATCCAATAATTTACATTAAAAATGCTTTTTAATATCATGCCAATATGGAAATATATTCACGCCGCGTGTGTGTTTGAAGCCAATTAGTACCTTTAATGTGATTTTACTCACTTTGAGGATCTTAAATTTATTGTGGAGGGGAAGTGCTTCCTTTAAAAAAGTTTGTTCAAAGTACTTTTATTCTATACTTTTGTTCTCCATTAAAGTCTATCATTAAACAATAAAGGTGTTTTCATGCACTGGTCAATTTGGTCTATTCTTCAATAACTCGTCTTCTTTCAGACGAGAGGATATAAAACATTTATTTTATTATTTTGTTTGTTTATGTCTGTAGATTTCTCTTAAATTCACCAAAAGTTACCATTACATAATGCCTCATTTGCATATATAAACATATCTCAGAAAACTTGAAACACAATAATACTCCTCTTAATGTGAGTGATGAAGTGGTGAAGTTTCATGGTGATATCTGTGAGTTCATGTTGTGACTCTATTCACCTGTAGAGTCTTCTTAATGTGAGTGA